GGGGGGGGGGGGGGAGGCGGATCGTCCTCGCTCTGCCTCTTCGCGCCCCCGGGCAAAGGTCGCACCCCTTGGCTCGGATGACCGCCTTCGTCATCCGCCCAGCCAGGCCATGCTAGCCCCGCGCCCTTGGCCCGGGCGTGAGGCAGCTCTGTCTGGGTCCGACCGGGCCGGGCTCGGGGGGGGGGGGGGCGTCCGCCTGCGCGGCCGGCCCTGGTGCACTTTGCGCGCGCGCACGCGCGCGCACCCGCGGCCGAACATGAAACGTTTGGCTGCCCGGGGAAACGGCGCTCGGGCACGGGAAACATTGGGGGCAGGACTCTGCCAGGGGGACGGAGGGAGAGGCGCACGTAGGGGTGCCTGGGCCGGAAGCCGGGGGGGGGGGGGGGGGGGGGCGGGGCCAGCGGGGAGGCGCCTGCGGGCACGTTGTGCGAGTGTGTAGACCCCATGCCTTTGAGCACGCCCACCCTCGAGGCCGCAGGCACACACATGCGGAGAGGCCCTTGCGCGCTAGGACACCGCCCACCGGCCGATGGCGGCCGGGGATGTCTGACAATAACCCACCGGGGGGGGCCCCATCGGGGCCGGGGGGCGTGAATGAGCCAGACAATCGCCAACAGGACCCGCGCGGGCATGGCGCAGCAAAATGCCCTCGGCGATGCGGGTGGTTTTTCGGTCCCCGGCGCACGCACACCAGACCAGGGCAAGCCCCGGGCGCCGAGCGTCCCGGGCACACAGGGCCGCGTCGGCCACCCGTCAATAGTGACTGGCGGCCCTCCGAGCGTGAGAGGCTCAGGACCGGGGGGGGGGGGGGGGCAGCAGCGCCGGCCGGGGCATCGGGGCCGCCCGCGCGGCCGGCCTCCCTCCGCCGCATGACAACCCCTCGCCGAACGCAGACGGCCTTCCTGGAGCCACGTCGGGGTCTGGGCCTCGCGGACCCGCCTGCCGGGCCCAGGTGGCCTGCTCCGTCGGGGGTACCCCCCTCCCGGGCTTGAGTGGTTGCCGGGGGCCGCCGGGGGCCGTGCCGCGACGGCAGCCCCCAACCCAGGGGGCCGCCGCCTGGCGGAACTTGCGCCGCTTCCCGCACTCCAACGGCCGCGCGGGGCCTCCTGCCAAGTCCGGCCCTGGGTCGGCTTCCGGGGGGGGGGGGGGGGTGGCCCGCCCGGATTCCCGCCCCGGCCCGGCCCCCCGGCCATGGGCTCTCTCTGCGAGCGGGATCACCCCCCATGACAGCCGGGGTGGCCCGGGCCAGGCCGGGCTGGGCCGGGGGCGCCGAGCGGTGTGGCCCGGAGCCGCCGGCCTCGGGGGGGGGGCCTTGTTCGGGACACACGCACGCCGGCGGCCTTGCGCGCGTCCTCCCGCCTGGACGGTGCCGCCCCGGTGGCCTGTACCACACGCCCGAGTACCAATGGCTCGGGGGGGGGGGCGTCGACCTACGTGCTTGTGTGTGTGTGTATGCACGGGCCAAGCCCCGGGAGGCGGGGGACTCCTCCCGGCAGCCCGGGCTGGTTGACCGGCACTTGGCCGGTCGGAAGTTCCGAGCGAGCGAACGACGGGCGGGCAGGCGGGAAACCGCCGCTTCAGCCCCACATATTCACCTCGTAGTGGGCGTCCGGGGGTTCTCTATGTTTAACGTAAGGCATGGAAAAGAAAACAGCCCGGCCACCGGCCGGCGGCGGCCAGTTCGCCGGAGCCCCGGGAGTCCGGCCAAACGCCCCCCCGAAAAGCACAATATGGCCAAATGAATATTGCCGAGTCATACATGGACACACCTACGCACTCGGCACATACGTACCTCTGTGTGTATACACAGACACCCACACCCACTTGCCGGCACACATCCTGGCGCATAGGTGTCGGTCGCTCTGGGGCCATGTCGCAGGCCCGGCGTTCATGCGGAGGCCCGGAGCGCATGCGCTCCGGGCCGTCTGTCTAGTCTTGCCGACAAGCCTTGCTCCACTGCCCCCCAAACATCCCCCCCTCTTGTCACGCTTGGGGGTGTTACCGGTGGCTGGCGCTGTCACACCGGCGCGTTGGATGCCCTTGGCGCCGGCACATGGCCACCCTGCCACCGAGCCACCGGCGGGGGCCGGCCACCCAAATACACGGACACACACACACACACACGCACATGGAGACGCACGTCGCGGGGCATACCCGTGCATCAGGCCGTCAGCCGAGGGGGGGGGGCGCGGGGGCGCGGGGGCGGGGCCGACGCCGGCCGCCCGAATACATGAGCCTTCTCGGGGTGGGGAGGTGCGAGGGGGCGATGCGCCAGTTGCGAGGCGCCGAGGTGCGGCCGCGCGGATATTTCCGTTGGCGTGCACCGGCCGACAACAGATCGGAGTAGAGCTTTGCCCGAACGAACACCATTCGTCCGGGGGGCTGGGCCGGGCCCGCTCCCGACAAACAGCCCGGCCGCCATACCTGCCCCGGAGCTGTGCCGCGAGCCCGAGGGGTCCTGGGCCCCGGCGCAGACGCCCCCGCCCACAGCGCACTCCGTGTAGGGGGCGCATCCTCCCGGCTGCCGAGCATGTCGCCACTTGCCGCCCGCGGCCGAGTGCGCCCGGGCTCGCTGGCGTGCATGGGGTCCCTGACGAACGGCGCACCCGGCCGCCTGCCGGACCCGGCATTGCGCGCCATCGCACATACGGGCCCGCGGCCGGCAGGGATGGGCAAGGGCCCAGCACGCCCCCCCGACACGCCTAACCATGCATCTCCTGCGACGGCTCCGCCGGGAACGGACTACCTGGCCAAGTGTGTGTGTGTGTGTGCATCATTTCGGCTGTCCTCTATTCTCTCTCTCTCTCTCTCCCATCTGTTGTCGCTGACACAACCACCCTCTCGATGGATCGGCCGGCGGCCGCGGCAGGGGCTCCCGGCGACCAACGACCGGGCTCGCCCCACGCCCCGGACCATGGGGATGAGCCTGGGCGCCATCGGGACAGACGTGCCAGGCCGGACGCCCGGCACCGGCCCCGTCGTCCGGCGAACGGCCGTACTCCAGCATCCGGCAGGGCCCCGGTGCCGCATGCCCTGCTCGGCGGCCGCTCTTCCGCCGCGCCTATGTGGCCGGTTCCTCCCGGGCCCCGGCGCGGCAGCCCCCCATGGACGGACCTGGCCGTGTGTTTGTGTACCCCTTGGCCTTCGATGCCAGGGGCCGCGGACGAATACTCACTCAGAGTGACACACTTTCGACGGGCCCCCAGCGCGAGCGCCGTGTTGGGGGACAACAACCCCGCGCCAGCGCCCGCGCCCCCTGCCCTGTCCCGTGTGCCGTTGCTCATTCCGCGTCTGTGTCCCCCCCCGCCCCCCCCCCCCGTGCTTGCGGCTTCAGGTGTGCACCGGGGCTCGGGGCGCCGGACCGTGCTCCTGGCGGTGCGTGCTGGTCCCCGAGCCCGGTGGCCCGGGCGTCGGCGTGCGTGTGCGCGCGCGCGCGCGCGCGCGTATCGAGCCGAGCCGTGGCTTCGCGCAGGCTGCCATCTCCGGGCGCCCGGCCCGGTGCCCTCCACACCCGCCGGCTGTTCACTCCTCCTTCCCCCGGCCGAGGGGACAGGCCCACCGCAGCCCGCCTGCCTATCGTAGAGGAGGTGGTGCACGAAAGAGAGAGAGAGAGAGAGACAGGGAGAGGGAGTCAACGGCCGAGGGCGATGAAGGGCAAGCGCGCGGCCGGGCGCGCCCCTCGCAGCGCCGGCCGAAAGGGCACGCCCCCGATATTGGGGCCCCTACAAGTATGTCGAACCCCTGCATACTTTCTCCGGGTGCCGGCGTGCTGAGAGCGGGTCAGATGCGCCGAGGTCCGCCCGGAAGGTTGTGCCTTCATGGTGCCCCCTCCCCCTCCCGACACGGGTTGGAGCCGAGGACATCCCGGCCGGGGGGGGGGGGGGGGCGCCCCCGCTGCCTCTGCTGACACCGACCACCCTCTTCCCCCGTCTACCGG